CCCAGACAACCTTCAGAGAGATGGCCCAGGACAACTCAGAAAAGGACACTGTGTACTCCTTTCCTGTCATCGGCTTGCTTTCTTCTTCCTTTTATTTCAAGAGGACATATTTTTGAAGTTAGGTTCTCTCTCCTCCTATCCTGGGTCCCAAGGATGGGACTCGGTGTCAAGATCATGTGGGAAGCATTTTCACTGGCGGAGCTATGTCATTAGTGCCCGAGTTTTAAAATTTTTTTAAAGGTTTTATAGATAAAGCACGGATGGCAGCAGATGCCTATAATTTGAGCACTCGAGAGGCATTTTGGTGTGTGTGTTTATATTTGCTTATACACTGTGTCTATGTTTTACTATTCTGTGTTCCGCACACTTGCCATTGTGCATGTGTGGCGGTCAGAGGAAAACTCATGGGACTTGGTGCTCTCCTACCAAGTGTTTTCTAGGTATTAAACTCAGATCACCAGGCTTGGTGGCAGGTGCCTGCATCTACAGGCACTGAGACAGTAATTTTTCACTTGGACTTTTGCCATCAGTCACAAAGGCTCTGGAGATGCAGAACGTTCTGAACTTGTCTATCATAGAGCACCCAGCAGGTAGATGACTGGGTCAATACCAGCCAGCAGGAGTGTCCAAGCTGGGATGCAGAGTGAAACCCTGTCTTGAAAGTTTTTTTTTTTTAAATTATTTGTATTTTATGGCATTGCTGTTTTGCCTGCAGGTATGTCTCTGTGAGGGTGTCGAATGCCTACAATAGGTGTTACAGACAGTTGTAAGCTGTCATGTGGGTGCTGGGAATTGAACCTGGGTCCTCTGGAAGAGCAGCCAGTGTTCTCAACCACTGAGCCATCTTTCCAGCCCCTTGAAAGTTTTATACAAGAGAATAAACATCTTCTCTTCAAAAGACTCACACTCAACCCCGGAGAGGGCTTGGTAGTTTAAGAGTACATACTGCTCTTACAGAGGACACCAGTTCAACCCCCAGCACCCTCATCTGTTGTACACTGTGATGATGTGTCACTCAGATGGCTTTAATAAAAAGCTGAATGGCCAATGGCTAGGCAGGATTTTCAGGGCAGAGAGGACGCTGGGAAGAAGAGCAGAGATGTGGGGAGTCCCCAGGCGGAGGCAGAGGAAACAGGGACGCAGCGTGGGCAGTACAGAGTAAAGGTAATAAAGCCACAGGGCAGAAAGCAGATGAACAGAAGTGCGTTAATTCAGGTTATAAGAGGCAGCTAGAAACAAGCCTAAGCTGCCAGTCGAGCTTTCATAATTTACAGGAAGTCTCTGTGTCATGATTTGGGAACTGGCAGGAGGGACAGAAAAATCTGCCCACTCAACTGCCTCTAACTTCCGTTCCAAGAGATCCGATGTCCTCTTCTGGCCTCTGTGTGCTCTGCACTCATGTGCAAAGGACCTGCCCCTTCCCTGCCACATTTGAAAATCAATCTTTAAAAAGTTTGCTGCAAGCACTTTAATCCCAGTACTTGAGAGGCAGGTGGATCTCTGTGAGTTTGAGGTTAGCCTCGTCTACTGAGTGAGTTCCAGGACAGCCAGGGGTACACAAAGAAACCTGTCATAATAAACCAAAACAAAAAACAAAAGTTTGTTTCAGAAAGACTTATATTGTACAAGTGTCAGTCATGGAAGTCCTTCACATCTCTTCAGTGTAACTTAAGAGATTTTATATATATAGTTTTTTGAGACAGGGTTTCTCTGTGGCTTTGGTGCCTGTCCTGGAACTAGCTCTGTAGACCAGGCTGGTCTCGAACTCACAGAGATCCACCTGCCTCTGCCTCCCGAGTACTGGGATTAAAGGCGTGCACCACCACTGCCCAGCCTCTATTTATATTTGTATAAATAAAATGTTTCAACACAAATGGGAGACAGTACTATTCTCCAACAGGCTGTTTTCACTTCATAGAGATTGTACAAGAAGCTAAACACTTTTCTGGAATGCTTATTGCACCTATGTTCTTCTGTGAACCATTTGTTGGTTAACTTTTGTCCACATTTCTACCAAGTTCTTGTGTGTGTGTGTGTGTGTGTGTGTGTGTGTGTGTGTGTGTGTGTATGTAAGCCATATGACCACCCCAGGTGTTATTCCTCAGGTGCCATTCAACCTTGTTTTCTGACAGCCCAGAGCTTGCCAACTCTGCCAGGCTGGCTGGCCAGAAGCACCAGGATCTTCCTGTTTCTATCTCCACAGCACTGGCATGCCAAGTGTGTGCCACCAAGCTTGGCATTTCCCAAAAGTGTATTTCAGGAAAGTCAGGTCCCCTTTATGACTGAGCATCTCCTAGCTGTCCAGTCACACACAGCATCTGCTCATCTCCGGCCCACAGGCTGCACACATCCATCCCCCCATTGCATTTACTATTCTATACTTCCGGTCTTTAAGTGTTGGCTGTGGAACCCAGCGCCTTGCTAGGCAAGTGCTCCACCACTAAACTACACCCTTAGTTCTTGTTTTTCAGTGGAGCATCATTATGTAGCTCAAGGCACCCTGGGACTATATAGCTCAGGCTGATTTTTAATTCATTTTTTTTTTTTTGTGTGTGTCCTGAGATTACGGGTGTGAGCCATTATGGGTGTGAGCAGTCATACAACTCCACCTTCGTTTCCATACATGAAATTTTGCATCTCTGGATTTTCTGAGCTATGGCAAAAGTCCCAGTGAAAATTATTGTCTCTGGAGGCATTCAGATGGCACCAGCTACTCAACCTTATGATCTGAGTTCGATACTGATGGGGTAGAGTCTTCTGTTTTGTGTTAATTTCATTGGTTAAATAAAGAGACTGCCTTGGCCCTTTAATAGGACATAAAACTAGGTAGGCGGAGTAAACAGAACAGAATGCTGGGAGAAAGAAGCTGAGTCAAGGAGTTGCCATGATTCCCCTACCGGACACGGACGCAGGTTAAGATCTTCCCTGGTAAGACACCTCGTGGTGTTACAGGGATATTAGAAATGGGTTAGATCGATATGTAAGAGGTAGCCAATAAAAGGCTGGAACTAATGGGCCAGGCAGTGTTTAAAAGAATACAGTTTCCGTGTAATTATTTCAGAAGGGCAGCCAATGCTCTTAACCACTGAGGTATCTCTCCAGCTCTCGAGTAATTATTTCGGGTAAAGCTAGCCGGGTGGCGGGAAGCACCCTGCCACTCATATTACAACACGATACCTACAAACATGTTGAGAGCATCAACTTCCAAAAATTGTTTTCTGATCTCTACATGTGCCATGGCAAGTGAGCAAACATGCAATGTCAGAAAAAACAAAAAACCAAAAGGCAAACCACAAAATTACTACTTCTGAGGCTGGGATGTGACTGGCTGAGTGCTTGCCTAGCACAAGGCAGCCCTGGTTCTAGCTCCAGCTCCACAGAGAAACAAACTTTGACTTCTTTAACAAAACCACAACTAGGATTAGACTGGATAACAACTCTAAATTTCTGAATGCCTAGTGTCTGTTTCCACCTACCATAGTAACTTTTGCAAAGTTTTGAAACAATGGAAGACATTATTCTGCCCATTTTGGGGTCAGGAGATGCTGAGTTGGGAGGTTAGTGCTTGAATGCTCCTCCAAAAGCCCTGAAGGTAGGCGCATGTGTATGTTTCTGTGTGTGTCTGGTGTTTGTGTGCATATGCATGTGGAGGCCAGAGATCAATTCCAGCTGTCTTCATCAATAACTCCTTTTTTGTTGTTGAGATAGGGTTTCTCTGTGTATCTTGGCTTGTTTTGGAACTCATCCTATAGACCAGGCTGGCCTTGAGCTCAGAGATCCACCTGCCTCTGTCTCCCAAGTGTTGAGGTTAAAGGCATGTGCCACCCCTGCCCTGTTTCTTCACCAACTTTTTTTTTTTTAGATGTGTGATGGCTCATCTTGGTTGTTAACTTGATTACATCTACAATCAACCAAATCCCAAGCTGCTGAGCATACCTGTGAGGAGGAGGAAGTTTGCTCAAATGGGCCATTTGAGATAGAAAGAACCATCCTAAATGTGGATCACACTTTTTAAAAAAAGATGTTTACCAGTTTATCATCTATCTATCTATCTATCTATCTATCTATCTATCTATCTTTAGACTTCATTCATGTGTTCTGCCTGAATGTATGCTTGCAAGCCAGAAGAGGGCACCAGATCTCACATAGATGATTATGAGCCACCATGTGGTTACTGGGAATTGAACTCAGGTCCTCTGGAAGAACAGTCAATGCTCTTAACCTCTGAGCCATTTCTCCAGTCCCAGTGGGTCATACTTTCTGATGGCAGTCCACATAAATGGACACAGAAGGAAGCTTTTGCTTTTTATTTGCCCTTACTCTCTGGCAAGTTCATCCAGCCTGCTGCTGAGACGCTACATAGGGATTTCAATGTCTAAAGACCATCTGAGACATCCAGCCTTGTGCACTAAACAGCTGCTGGATTCTTGGCCTGTCAGTAGACAGCCATTGCTGGATTAGCTGGACCACAGCTAATAAATCTAATCATTCTAATAAATCTTTCAATATATATTATTTTCATTCAATCTCCTCTAGATAACCCTAATACACAGTCTCTCAGTGAAACTAGAGATTATAAATTTGGAGAGACCTGGCCAGCAAGCACCAGGAATCTGTCCATCTCGCTATCTCCACAACCGCGCTTACAGCTGCACACTCACACACCTGACTTCTACATGGGTGCTAGGCATCCAAACACAGGTCCTCATGCTTGTGCAGCAAGCATTTTATCAACGGAGCCATTTCCCTGGCCCTTCAAACGTAGTCATAGCTACCAGCTAAAACATTCATGGGAAAGTGCCAACCTGGAATGATGTCTGTAAGGTCCAAGCAGTTGTGACAGCTTTCTGGTTGCCAGTTACAGTTTCAAGACACTAGTGTGACAGCTTCCTCCCCATCTCTCCCACTCAACCCACAACCAGAATTTCCAGACAGATGCACCTGTCACTGGAAATAGGGGATGCACAAAGAACAAAACAAACCGAGTCAACTGGCAGGTTTCTAGCTGAGGTCTTTATTTTCATTTTATGTACAGCAAAGGTGCTGCTGAGACTCCACAGCAGCCAGACAGAACATAACTGAATTCTCTCTCAACAATTAGCAGCTTAAGATCTAGCATCTACATGTAACGTTCACGCGTTCACAAGTATTGTCTCTTTACTCTGCAATTCGTGCACGTAAGTCTTTAGTCTTACACACTTATATAAAACACACGTACAGTCAGCCTAGTAGTCAGCCCCTTCTGAGGGTATCACCTAGCATACACAACATACAGAAGAGCCACATTCAAAATCCCAGTTTAATTGGGGGTGGTGTGAGAACCATCACTTTCCTGTGCTGGCTTGTTGATGACAGCATTTGGTTTTGTTTGAGATGTGTATTTTCCAAAACTACAAGGTCAGAACACTGGAGCTCACTCAGAATCCAGTTTCACTGACTACCTTAGAACACAAGATCAGAAGCAAAACCAAAGCATGCCCACTGTCAGATATGACTGGTGAGGAAGGCTTCACCCCAGTGTTCTGGTCACAGACGTTTCATGCCAATTGGGATGGGGCTAAAGAAGCACCGTCAGCGATGGGTCTGAGTGCACCTCTTAGGGTCAAGGACCTGAAACTGGAGCAGACAGCCGTCAACCTCATAGAGTGAAGGCCAACTCTACAACCATGACAGTCACCCAGGCCAACACGGCCTGCCTCACTCACTTGGGGTAGGTACCATCATGGACAAGGGAATCAAAGAATGCTTCATTTTAGCGGATTTTTTTAATTAAATTTTTTTTTTAAGGAAAAGAAGCATTAAATTGTAGGTAAGCTTCTCTCAAATCAAGTGCTAAACCATCAGAGCAAGGCTAGTGAAAGGCTGTGAATAGAAAAGACAGCCAGAGTTCCAAGAAACTCAAAGGTGACAGGGAAGGGCAGCAGAAAGTACAAGCAGGCAGGATAACAGAAGTGTGTTATAAGCAGCACTGAGTGCAGATAACTGCGGGCTTGGTGAGTGAGCAGGGGTAAGACAGCGAGAGCCATGATAGCCCTATCCTGGACAGTGATGTCCTGTCCTTCCCAAGACAGTCTGCTAAAAGGGAAGCAAGGAGTCAGTGTGGGTCTGTCTGTCTGTCTGTCAGAAGCTCCAGATTCTTTTTCCTTCAACAGAAGCTGCCATCAGGAAATTAGAGACAATTTCAGTTTCTCGATCACAGTGACCATTTGGGGGTCCTCCTGCGGAACTGTTAGGAGAAGCCAGTGGGCTGCCACCGGATCATCTCTCCCACAGTCCCATGAGGCTCTCTTCTGTACCAGAGCAGCGACTGTTGTTCAGCAAGGTCAGTGTCCTGTGGCACTCTTGCCCGAAGCTGCTGCAGGATTTTCAGACAATGCTAACCTTCTAAACATAGGCTTGGGGACCATTTGTTTTGGCATGAATATGTATTGGTTTTAATTTTTTTTTTTGTCCCTGCTTTAGGTGCTCATTATGAGGTGGATAACAACCATATGGGGGATGGGAGAGGAGACTGGGTACCTGAGTTAACATATCAAAGTGAGAAGGCCAGCAGGCCAAAGCAGCAGCAGGCTGGAACTGTTAGGTAAACCATGCTTTTCAACAGACAGGGCATTGCTACCCTAATTCTGAAAGAAGGTCCTGGTGTGGGGACATAGGCAAAAACACACTTTGTTTCTCTGTCCGGGGCACAGTACATGGCTCCTTTGCGTTACGTGGGCACACAGGGGGAGGCCATTGGAAATGGCATTTGTGACCTACCTCCAGTCACATGAGTTTAGTCAGGCTCTCTAGTTTTCTCTGAAGGTTGATTCAGGTTCCACCTGGGTGAGGAAACTGGCTGTGGGATAGGGACAAAGCTCAGCTCCTCTTCCTAAACAGCCACTGAGCAGTTAGTGAGGTTAGTCAGTCTGGGTTAATAGGAAGTTTGCACCCAGAATTTAGGTTCTTGTAACCTGACATTTCCTTTTCTGCTTTTTGGGAGAATCACCTTCAATTGATCCTCTCAGGCAGACAGAATAAAGCTTTGAAGTTAAGGATGCTGAGGCCAAAATGCAGACAAGACTCCACATCACTTTGGTTTCGGTAATTAGGGGGTGTTAAACAATAAATTAAGCAAACACAAAGAGTTATTTATGACTCTCATAACAAGGTAGGGGGGTTTGTTTGTTTTGTTTTTTTCTAAAGAGAATCCCAGCCCAAGGTCACTTGGTGAACATTTACTTGGGTGGGAGGTGGGCAAAGTCCAGTCCTACTACACAATTCTGTTGAGGTCACACCCCCTCATGCAAACCCCTCACCACTCCAACCAAGCCAGACTGGGGAGATGGTGCTGTGTGTAAAGACCAGAGAGCTGGGGCAGCCACAGGGTGGCAGAGGGCAGCACTGGCAGCAGTCTCCAATTCAACTGCTTCAAGATAACAGGGGGCAGCACACTGAAATATCCACACAGCTTCATTTGAAAACATCACTGCTTTATTTCAAAGAAAAAAAAAGACCCTCCCAACTCAGGACCCCTCCCCTCAAAAATACCCCAACTCCATCCCAAAGCCCAACCAACCAAACAAAAAAAACCCCACAAAAAACACAACTAAACAAAAATACCCCAATAATAATAACAATAATAAAAAATCCTATTAGAAACTATAAGGAAGCACTGAGAGTTTGAGTATTACATTCTTCAAGTATGTTGTTCGGATTTTTTATTTTTAAGTTGGTAACTATACACATATAAAAAAAACCAAACAAACCTTAAAAGTGCGGCCAAGAGATTTTGCTTAAAGTTAGGATTAAGGGCTACTTCACAATACTGAACAGGACTGCACAGTCATCCTGTGGTTTGATGCTCTTGCTTCCAACCCTGGCAGAGTTAAGGAAGGCGCAGGTTTCAGAAGTGATCACACTTCAGGTCAGCATGAGAAAGCCTGGGAAATGTTTGTGTTCTTCCATGGCAGGGGAAACCCACCCTGAATCTACAATTCCACCCTGGAATGTGGTGGGACTTCACAGTAGAGTTAGTCTAGACGAGGAGAGGAGCCCAAGAAGGGTAGGTGTTGGACCTGGTCAGATTTTTGCATCTGTTTAGTGGGTTTAGTGCAGTCCTCCAAGCCTCAATTCAGAATGCCCATCGGTGTGTTGCAGATTGTTGGTTCATGTTAAAGGACTGTTTCAGATTTGCATCCCAAGGAAAATCATGCTACATAAAAATGATCCAAGATTTTGCCCAAAAAACTTCTTGGATAAAATCTAAAAAATACTATTGCAATTGCGTCTCTTGAAGAAAAAAACATTATTCTAAATGTAAACAGATTCACTCAACTCTCTTGTAGAAACTTCAGAGTGGGTAATGCCGCTGTCTAGCTCTCTTGGCATGCACTCGCCAGACGGTGAGGAGCACTACTGTCTGCACCAGCATCATCTGGGGGGTGAGAAGAGTCGGTCCACATAGCTGAAGAGTGCGTCCCAGTGCTTCCAGAGAAAGGCAATGAAAGCCACAAGGAATAAAGTGCTGAACGTCCTGTTGCGTGTCTTCATGAGGGGGACCACACAGTTGGCTACTGTAGATACAAAGACCAAGAGGACTGCCATGACGGCCAGGAGGATGTTGATGAGTTTGCCCAGAAGGTTTCGGGCAGTGGCATTCTCCAGCCCTTCCAGCTGCACCACCTGCTGCTGTTGCTGCTGCAGCTCCATCTTGGAGATTCGGGTCTGACAGGCCTCCAGGGCCTCCTGCGGGCCAAACAGGGGATGGTTAGGCTTCTGTTCTCACAACTCTAGGGCTAACATGCCCTGGGAGAGGCAGATACACCCAGAGCCATGCCAAAGATTTGAAGTAGCCAGAACCTGGGATATGAAAAGCCACACACACATCACTCCCACCCCTCTACTGTACTCCTTGGGGAATAGCTACAGGGAACAGTGAACATACTTTGATTTATTTTGCCTAAAATTTACTTAATTTATTTTTTTATGACAAGAGTCTCTTGTATCTCAGACTGGCCTTATGATTGCTATGTAGCTGAAATGACCTTGAACTTCTGATCTTTTTTGCTTCAACCTCCTGACTGCTGAGATCATAGGCATGTGTCATCATTCCTGAATGGCCTAGCTTCAATTATAAGGTTTTTATTCCTTTTTTTTAAATAAGTTTTTTTTAAAGTCTTTTAAAAAATATTTATTTATTTATTATGTGTATAATATTCTGTCTGTGTGTATGCCTGCAGGCCAGAAGAGGGCTCCAGACCTTATTACAAATGGTTGTGAGCCACCATGTGGTTGCTGGGAATTGAACTCAGGACTTCGGGAAGAGCAGACAATGCTTTTAACCTCTGAGCCATCTCTCCAGCCCAGGTTTTTATTCTTTTAGAAATTTTGAGTCTAAGGCAACGAGACACATACACTTGTTTATCTAAACAGTATCTCAGTATTCTCAGTTCTCAGTATTCTCAGTGTCACCACATGACACTGTCATACTAGTAAGTTCACCCTTTACCTGTACTAAGTCTACATATGTATTTGCTTAGCATGGGGTTATTATAGGCATTTCCTACCATAATGTGCATTGCATTCTACTGGAATCAACTATAACTTAATTTACTTTTTGCTCAATAGTGGGTCTTAAGGATTGTGCTATGTCAAAATACAGGGATCTACCTCATTTTTGTGTGTACAGACATGTGCATGGACATGTGTGCATGTTCTAGTGAAGGTCAGAAGACCAGTGTGGTGTTGGTCCTCAGGTACGCTCCACCTTTTGCTTCAGACAGGGCCTCTCACTGGCTGCAACTCTGCAAAGCAGGCTAGATTAGCTGACCAGAAAGCTCCAAGGATTTGCCTGCCTCATCTTGCCTTTGCTGAGGTTACAAATATATGACATTATGCCTGGATTTAAAATTATTATTATTATTATAGCATTCATGTGTTTGCAGATCAGTATGGAGATCAGAAGACAAATGTGAGGGATTAGTTCTCGCCTTCCACCTATATCCAGTTCTGGGGACTGAACTCAGTTGTTAAGCTCCATAGGAAGAACTCATGGGTGCATACTCTTGTGAGTATGCCACAGTTTAGGTACCTCTTAGGGATTTTAAAGGTTTTTTTCCTTCCCTGATTTTTCCCCCCACTCTAACAATGATGCAGTGAACACCTCTGAATGTGCTTCACTACCACACCACCTGATGTTTTTATGTCAAGACATCCCTGATTGGAGAAAGGGAACTGTGACTTCACTGTAATGAGGGCATACTCCCTTTTCAGGTCAATCTCTAAGGCATATACTATGATGACACTCTACAGAGGACATTAAAGTGACCTACTCCCCCTAAGGCCAAGCCTTATGTAAACTGCACCCTACCACTCAGGAATACAAACTTCATCCCCTAGCGAGGACAGACATTCTCCCAAGGCAACCAGTGGCTGGAACGCTGGGATTTTCTAGCCTTAGTATCGTCAATGTTGTGTCTGGTCTTCTGGGATGCGAGGTAAGGCCTAGACATTAGCCTGAAGCTAGTTCAAAAATGGATAACGGATACTGCTCACTCTAGAACTACCTCGGGATGAAAAAATAAAAATGTAAACAGAATCTGAGGGCCTAAAGAAGATGGCAGCTGGGCAAATAGTCAGGACAGTGCCTCGATTCCTCTTCTCCACACTCACTTCTTTCAAGGTGCTTTCACAAAAACCACCATGACCTCTGAGAAAATCTCCATAGGAAACAGAGAAACCCCACTGTTTTACTTCTTCATGGAATCAATCAAGTGTTCACCTTCAGCTTCAATGATGGGGTTTCTCAAGCCTACAAACAATGGGAATTTTCACAAACCGTGTAATGTGCCACCTGTAAGAGCAGGAACAAAAGCCCCTTTCCACAGAAGCAAAAGATAGGCTAGCTGGCCAGAAGCCCCATCTGAGCAGCTCCAGGGCAGCAATGAGATGGGATGCTCTAGTTTTCCCTTGACTGAGACATCTGCCAATATCTAGAGCTGTAACTCCCCAAATGTATGAACTTTTGAAGAAGGTACCTCCATTGTGTTGAAGGCAGGTGTGTTGTAACTGATAAGACCTTTTCTTGATTCTCTACCCTCATTTCTTTGCCCATTTTCTTTCTTTTTTCTTACTTATTGTTCATACTAACCTGGATGTCCCGGGCCCGTTCATAGGACTGATAGGCAATTTTCTCTTCCATGCTGGCCAGCTCTTGCTTTAAGTTCAGAATCTCGTTCTGATGGAGCTCTGTCAGGTCGTTCAGCTGCTCTTCTAGTCGCTCACATCTGAAAAAGGGAGAGAAGTTGGAGTTTCAAATATTCTACATCCTCCATGATATAATTTAGATCAATTCCCACATCTATTCTACAAAATAATAAAAAAAAAAAAACCACAGAGTTAAAGCAAGTCTGGGGTACTGTTTGCCAGAAGTTGCAGCTTTCAGTCTCCAAAAGGCAGCTGTCACAAAGCTGGTGTCATGGTTTTCCCAGTTTTCTCCACAGCCTCGTATAGCTCTGCACATCTATGATGCTGAAGCAGCTCTTACTCTGCTGAGTATGGAAGATGCAAAAACTAAACAAATCACACCAGGAAAGAGACCTTCTGGTTGTCAGTAATGACTTATTTCAAAACCAGTTGAACAGTGACTTACTCACCCAGATGTTTGTGATTTGGAGACCCAGAAAGTCAGAGCCAGAGGGATCTATCATCCCCATGGCCAAGCAGTGCTTGGGACATCTGTCAACACATATTTATTGAGAATCTGCTGCAGGCATGTTCAAAGTACTGGGACACTGTAGCAAGAAAGAGAGAGCACTTGCTTTCCATTTATTCTACAGAGAGAAGGGAGACAAAAGATCACCAATAGGATTTGATGTAGCCAAGACTAGCAGGTAGCCAAGCATATGGCAGTGTCTAGTGACACTGGAGAGTCAGGGAAGACTTCTCAACTTTCTTCAAGAATGAGAGATAAAGCTTGAAGGATACTAACAGGCTTGGAAGATGAGGAGGCTGAAGATGTGCAAGAAATGTGTACTTCTCCTCAGAAGGAGCAGAAGTACAAACTTGTTCAGACAGGAATGAAGTTGGCATGTGTAAGGGCTGGAGCAGGCCAGAGAAGCTTCAGAATGGGAAGAAGAGAGAATGTTCCTGGAAGGCTAGTTTTATTTATCATGTATCTCTAGCATTTAGGAGCGTGTGCATGCTCATTCACACACATTTATTCTATATAAAGAATTAAGGGCGCTCACCAGAGATTCTAGGTACGAAAAAAAAAACACTCTAGAAAGAAATACATAGAATAACTAGATTCTGGATAGCTGGAGAAGGGGCCCAAAGAAGACAGTGTATAGGGAAATGGGCTGTCTGTGGTGGTGAAGAGGATAGATGAAGCAGGAGTCCTAAGAACTAAAGGGCTTCCAGGAGAAAGGCCAAAAACAATACATTAAAAACACTAAGATAGGGCAAAGGAAGAAAAAACACCTTCAGTTCCTGTTGAACAGAATGAAGTCCTGTGTCAGAGAGCATTTGGGCAGAGCAAATGTCACAGGGAAAACCACATGAGAAAATCCAGGGACTTCCACTAGAAAATGGAAAGAAAGCTGGGGGCAGGCTACGGTGTATTCCCTAGAATCCCAGGTACTAAAGAAGCAGCTGATATAGGAGGACTGTAAGTCTGAGGCTAGTCTAAAAAACAACCAACCAACCAACATACTATTAAATATTAATAATTCCTCCTTTCTTTCCTCTAGTGCTTTTCTTTTTTTCTCCCATTCTCCCGCCTCCTCTTTCTTCTTTTGGTTATACAGGGGATGGAAGCTGTCACTCCGCATGCCAGGCAAGGCCTCTACTACTGAGCTACAGCAACAACCCTACTCTTATTTCTAATCACACTCATGGTGTACAAACTTTGTTTTTCTTTTTAGCCCAGGATAACCTCGAATTTGTGATCCTTTTGCTTCTGTTTATGGATTCTGGGATTACCGGGATCTATCACAATGCCTGGCTAAAGTATATCCACTTTTAAGGAATACAAAGAATTTCTCTAAGGTAATTTTATGTTGCAGCATCTGTGTTTCCCTTGTATTTCTGTGCATCTCTGTGTATGTGCATTGGTATGCTGTGTTGTCTACATGTATGCAAGTAGTCCATGAGCAAATGTGTGGGTGCCATAGGAGGACCTTGGTGTCCTACTCTATTCCTGTTTGTTTTATCCCCTTAAGATGGGAGTTTCTCACTGGACCTGGAGCACACTGTTTCAGATAGAAGCCTAGCCATCAAGCCTCTGGGATTCTTCTGTTTCCAATAGAGCTCAGGTGACAGACATCCATACAGCCATACCTATCTCGATAGGGTCTCACTATATAGTTCTGGCTGGCCTGGAACTCACAGAGCCCCAGTACTGGGAGTAAAGGCAAGTGCCTCAATGTCTGGCCTCATCCCTGTCTTCTTTACTTGGGTGCTGAGGGTCCTCATGCTTGTACAGTGAGTGCTCTTAGAGTCACCATCCCATCCTCCAATATTATCCTTTTTAATTAACATATAATAAACAATGATTATATTCTATTAAATTCTATCCCTTAAGAAATAAACATTAATTTAAGGAGTCATAGTTTGACCCTTTTCATTATGTTGTTAAATCCTATTTTAGGTCTCCTTTAGGCATCTCTGTTGTGCTTTCCTTCATGTTGTTACAGAACAGCACTGCCATGCTCTGTCATCTATAACTAAAACTGATATTTGTGGGACTCTACCTTTTCATATCATCTGCTGCCTAGGGACTCAGGAACAGGTGTCAGCTATGGAAGAGATTTTCTGCGAAAATTTAAACTCATCAGATACTGTAAGATTATATTAATATACTGTCTTTCAAAACTCTTTTTTAGTGGTGGTGGTGAGAGTAAGCTAGGACCCAGAGCCTTGCACATACTAGGTAAGCATTCTAGTAGCCTACTGTTTTGAATATGTGACTTTCTTCATTGTCTTTCTTTACCAGAAGGATGCTGAAACTTAAAACTGGAATTTCTAACTGCCAATCTTGCAGGTGTAAAGCTTGGTTGTAGAGTGTACTCAGTAGGCTCTGTCCAACCAAAAACCAGGCCAATTCCTTGGCTATAGTCAGTAACTGGGATTGGGCAGGGAGCAGGGTGTTGGTGTCTGGCAGGGTGCATGGTGACAGGGCTGCACACTCCTTTAGTCCCAGCACTTGAAAGTTAAGAAACAGGATCACTGTGAGTTCAAGGCTAGCCTGGTCTATACCGTGAGCTCAGGATAGCTAGAGCTATATAACAAGACTCTATCTTGAGAAAAAAAAAAGCAACAATATGAACCCCAAAGATTACTGGGAAGTTTTATTTGGAATTAAATGTGGCTCATGTGCACCCAGAGCAGACTGGAAACAGCAGCCACCCAGCCACTGCTTCCTCGGAGCCTGCTGTTCATCAGGTCTGCTGGGAGGGTGGAAGGTGTTATCTTCCCCTCAGAAGCAGCAGTTAAAATTAAGAGGTCCTAAAGCTACCTGCCAGAGACACAAAGTGAAGGAGGAAAGATGTAAAGCCAGGTTTGTTCAATTTTAAAACCTACATTTCAAAATTCCACACTGCAATGCCATTTTGAAACTAGTCGAGAAGCCAAACAAACTCCCTTAAAAAGTAAAAAATCCGAGTCAGCTTGACAGTGGTTCAAGTCACACATCCACAGTGGGGCTCTGTTGACATGGTGATTTAAAGCTTGGCCAAGAGAAGATACTGAATAAAAGTCTAGACAAATTCAGATTACACGCGCCTTTAATCCCAGCACTCGGGAGGTAGAGACAGGCAGATCTCAGTGAGTTCGAGGCCAGCTTGGTCTACAAAGTGAGTTCTAGGACAGCCAGGACTACACAGAGAAACCCTGTCTCAAAATAAACAAACAAAAACAAAACAAAAGAGAAAACCAAGTGTTAGTAAAGATATGCAGCTGGTAGAACCATTCTTTTCTGCTGGTAAGAACTTAAAAAGGTTAAACAAACAATTTTAAGAAGGCCTATAACAACACTCCAGGTACATAGAGCAGAGAAATGGAACTTCTCTGCACACAAGACAGGCCCAGTGATGAGCTCACAGCACCACACTACAGTATCCAAGAAATTCCCAGATTCTGTATCCTAATGTGCTTGAAACTTGCTGTTCAGTTTAGTGATTCACCGTTCACTTGCTGCTCACAGATATCAGGATATGAAACAGAAAAAAAAAGTGCTTTTCAACTCCCTGTACCCAATTCCAAAACCCTAGCAAAACAGGCTGACTTTTGGCTTCATTCCCCAATATGGCTACTATAGACTTTACTGTGACAGAAAGGTGCATGATCTTTTTTACCCAACTTTCTAAACAGGGAGGCTCAGGTAGGCAGACGGTGAGATCCAGGCAAGCCTTGTTATACACAGCAGTTTTCAAGCCAGATTGGGATACAGAGTGAAACTGACTTTTCAAAAACAAAACAAATGAAAACAAACTATGCATGAAGCGTTTAGAGTCCATCCATAGCACTGCATTAAAAAAGAGGGTGTGTGTATGTGTGCGTGCAGGTGTGTAGTGTGTGAAGTGGTTGATATCCTGGGGACATGGAAACATAAGATCAGAAAAGTTCAAGGTCATTTTTGGTCACTTTTGGAGTTAAGAGGCCAGCCTGGGCTACCTGTGACTGTCTCAACAGAAAAAAACAAAACAAAAAAAATCAAATCATCAAAAACAGAATTCCCCAAATTATGTGATTCTAGAAGAGCAGTTGCGAGGACTATCCTGCAAATGGCTTACCGGGCACAAACATCTCCACCTCAGATGACAAGCCTCTGCTACTTCTTATTTTACTGGGCAGGTGTTGCTCCTGCTATTCCCTGGCTCAAGTTGGCCACATAATTAAACTTGTTCTATTTCTAGCCATCTGCTTCCTTTCTCCCAGACATGCTTTCTGCATGTACACGAGGAAAGGTATCAAGTCAATTTTAACTGGTCTTCATAACTCTCCAGAGAACTTAGTAGAAACTGCTAATCTATGTCTCTGCAGAAACTGAGTCCATCAGCAGTTGAGCAAATTACTTATGAATTCATGGGAAAGTAACAGACAAACCTCAAGCCAAGATTCATCCCAAAGGAGAAGTCATGTCCAGGAGCAATGGTTAGTGTAAGTTAGCAGGGAGTTAAACAGCAAAGTAGCATTTGGTTACTAGAATGAGTGCCCTTTTCAGTTCAGCAGCTGAGGCAGATAAACCGGTCAAGACACTTGCAAGGCAGTAAGTAAAGCTGTGGAA